ATGGGTGGTTTGCTCCCGTTCTATATCTAATTCAAACGGTCTCAATATTCTACTTGTTATTTCAGAGATATTTTCTCGTATATACTTGGTAGGATGAACTTTCTTGTGGTCTCCGATGATGATGATGAGGATGACGGTTTCTTGTTGTTGGTGTTACGACTCGAGTTTAAATACTTTCTGATAAAAATGTGCGTTGGCATCGATTCTTTTGAAGACGGTCGTTAGTAGGTATTTCTCCTCCATTCTCTTCAAAAAACACACGAGTAGTGCTACAGCCTGTGTTTCAACTCTTTTAGACAATGTCTGAACACAGTTTCTTTTGGTGGATAATCTCTACACGACCGATGGTGCTACCTCGACTGACAGATGAAGTACCTAGACTGTCTAGCCACTTCAAATTGTATCTACCAATTCAACTGAGCTTGTAGAGCGACTTATATTGGCCGTTGCTCTAGGAAATTGGTTTTTCGTGCTCGCTCGAGAACATCTCCCAGTATGGCTAGGTACAGGTGTAGTGAAAACCACTAAAAGTTCGATATTGGAACATCTGGTGCAAACCGGTCACAAAGCCAGCCAGCGTTGAAGAATCCTTCTCTATAATCTACCGGGTTCTTAATAAATTGAGAAAAACATCGAACCACGGCATGCTCCAAACAGCAGAGGCTATTGCAATTCGCCTCAAACAACCAGTGCTCTGTGTCCAAAAGAAACAAGTCCAGCCAGCCACTACTACTGCCCTGGCCCTCAGTAGACATTATAAACTCATGAATTTGTACTATTACCTTTGCTAATTCTTCTGACATTCAGTTTATCTTATGTTGATGCTGTTCAGCTGTAATTTATCAATATTATTGATTCGATGTTCTTTAAACAACATTAATGTTGTTCATAAGACTAATTCATTCATTCATTTTAATGTATATGTAATTGTAGAACCTGATGATGAATTTATCGAAAAGAGTTCTCTTTGTTCCGTGTCTTTTCTTCTGAGAATTTAATTCAGTTTATTTTGTGCTAAAACGTACTCTGAAGGGGGATATTTTTTAGAATGTCAACAAAAGCTCCGCAGTTAATTCATTAACCAGCTCAGCGAACACAACTAATCATTCAATATCATGCACCTGGGCTACAAATCTTCTTTTTTATTTCAATGTTCAACCTTTGAAATCGTTAAGAATACTTCATTCTTTCATTCATGCATCACACCATTGAAGGAGGAATATTCAGTTTGGATAGTGTTGGATTAGAAGACGGAGATTATCTGAAAATGTGTGATGTGATGTATTTGCGCCATCCACGTTTCGAACAACAATCTGATCCGCCATACATTTACTTGTCAAGTCGATATTTTTATAAAAAGTATAATTAAGGACACTTGAATTAAACAAAGTGACAATAAAAAAGGATTTAAGAATAATAATAAGAATAATTAACACTACATGTGGTTATCTAATCAAATAAGGATTATCAATGTAGGTTAAGAGTAATAACAAATCGTGTTTGTACACACAGGGAGTAGGCTTAAGTTAGTGAATAGCTAATCGCCTCAGCGTATTTCAGTCAGCGTCCTTGACCATGTTTATAGATGACCTGAAAGGCTATACTAACTTCAATCTTATGGTTCATGTCGATTAGATGTTTGGCTATAGACGAAGTTGGTAGTCAACCACTTCCATCTACTGATTTTCCACAATTCATTTGTCTTTCTGACCATTTCGGGATATGCTCGCTGTCCAACTCTCACATACAAAGCACGATTACTCCTCCCTATGAATGTGTGTCCACACATTACTTGTGCAATTATGAGGTTTTCAGTGGAACATATTTTTGGCTTTTTCGATAATTAGAAGTCGGTTTGCATAATAGGTTATACGGACGACCGAATTTAACCTTTGTGTTAAAATCCTACTGTTTATTTCCCCGTTAGATGGTAATTTCATGAAGATATTTTTCTGAAACAGGCGGTACAGATTGTAGGAATTAAGACTAATTGACGTCTACACCTGTTGAAAACTGTTAAAGGATATCCATTTTCAACTGTAGTATCCATCAATATCTCATTTTCGTTCTCTATAACAATAACCGTGCAAATATCCTGAATCCTCTTAAAGAAGGACTTCACAAAGCCTTCCTGATACTGTAATGGACAGAAGCTGTGAAAATTTATGTATTACCCTGTTAAAGTGTGAATATTATGTAGTTTCGCTGATCTAATGTTTGTAGATGGCACAGTGGTAGAATGCTCGCCAACCACGAGATAGCTGTTTCGGGGTTTGATCCCCAGCCACAGACGCACCCATTTACCTCACCAATCCAGTTATAAGGTTGGTAAAGAGGGAAGGTTGTGCTGGGCAGGAGGCTAGCAACCCCATCCCTTAAAAATAATGACCACTGCTACTGAAACTTCGAAGCTGTAGCTTGAAGGCGCCCTATGTTCCACTGAGGGGAACGTAAAAGGAATAAAAGAAATCTCTGATCTAATGCTTTACAATTTTACTCGAAGGTAATTATTATTCAGACTGTTATTTCAGTACAAGCTGTCCTGCTTTTCTTTAACTCTTTCGACTTTATAATCATAGATCCTCTTTCTGAATACACAGGTGTAAACAAGACGCTTATTCGAAGTGTTTATCTATTTTGATAACTGAACCTATTGTTTTTTTTTATTTCCTTCACGTTCCCCAGTGGAACATAGGGCTTCAAGCTAGTGGCTTGAAGTTTCTGTAGCAAAGCTTATTTTACAGGATGGGGTTGCTAGCCTCATGCCCAACCTTTCCTCTTCACCAGGATTATTTCTGGCTTAGCGAGGTAAAGGAGTGCGTCGGCCGAGGCTCCTATTGTAAGACTGTCTTATTTCGAATTCATTGAAAGTATTAGTACGAGAACAAGCTGGGTTCAGGAAAGGCAAATCATGTTCTGACCAAATTGCAACTCTACACCTCATCGTCATCGAACAAAGCATGGAATGGCAATCAAACCTCTACCTCAACTTTATAGACCTTGAGAAGGCCTTCGACAGCGTTGACCGCGAAGTATTTTGGAAACTACTCGAGTACTACGGTGTACCCCAAATATTCATCAACCTTATTAAACAGCTGTACGACAACGGCACATGTCAAGTGATCCACAACGGAAAACTCAGATAGACGTTTGGAGTAAACACAGGAGTCAGACAAGGGTGCTTATTATCACCAATGATATTCCTAATTGTGGTGGACTGGATTATGCGTCAGACAGTGGGAAACGAGAAGACAGGGATATTCTGGATTGACGTGAAGAACCTAGAAGACCTGGATTTCGCGTGTGGATGATTTATGCTTGATGTCACACAAAATCGAAGACTTACAAGCGAAAAGCGACAAACTGGTCCAAGAAGCAGCAAAGACAGGACTGCAGGTGAACATAGACAAGACCGAGGTTATGAAAATAACCAACCAACAACAACAACAACAGCAGCAACATCCAGCGCCAATCACCATCAACGGAAGGGAATTGAAAGAGGTTACTTCTTTCACTTATCTAGGGAGCATTGTGTCAACTACAGGAGGAACGGACGAGGATGTCAAATCGAGAATCGGGAAGGCGAGAAACACATTCATCAACCTGAAACCAATCTGGAAATCTTCGTCACTCAGCATCAACAAAAAAATTCGGATTTTCAATACAAACGTCAAGTCAGTTCTTCTATACGGATCAGAAACTTGGTGGGTCACAAAGAATATTTCCAACAGCCTTTTGCAGACCTTTATCAACAACTGTCTTCGTTCTGTACTCAAGATCAGATGGCCGGAAAGAATCACCAACAAGAAACTATGGGAACAAACAAAACAAGAACCAATCGCTCAACAAATATGCAGGAGAAAGTGGAGATGGATTGGACACTCACTCGCTGAGGAGGCCACTGGGTGACATCACGCGTCAGGCCAGTGCTCGAGTGGAACCCGAAAGGGAAGCGGCGAGTGGGACGTCCAAGGGTGACATGGAGGAGATCGTGTGAAGAGGAGTTGAAACAGTATGGACTAACATGGATGCAGGTGAAAAGTACAGCAGAAGACAGAAGCAAGTGGAGACGTGTAGTTGAAGCCCTATGTTCCACTAGGAACCCAAGGGAACAACAACAACAATAATGATATTAGTACTCTCATTATTTGATACATTTATTTGCATTGATGAAAGTTTGAATAAAGCAAGAACAACAACGTTGGTTTGTGCACAATAGGAAGATGGCACCATCATTGCATATTTCGTTGGCTTCTCATCAGCTGCTGCCTACAGCCTACATAAATTATTATTAATTTCATATCGAGAAACGTTTTAACATACTTGAAAATTTTACATGATGTCAGCCAACTTAGTTAAGAGTGCTGAGAAAATTACACTTACGTAATTTTTGCACAGGGAGTTCAATTTTTGAAAAAATCTATAAATGCATAAAATGATAAAGAAGTTACGGAATACAGGCGAGAGAGGTGTGTAAGATGATGAGTGACTAATAAATTAGGTAACAATGTACTGAGTTCAACTCAAATCATAGAAACAAGAGATAAGCAAGTTTACACTATATAAAATGGAGGGGGGCGGGTGAGGTTAAAGCCGGAGATTACGCAATCAAATGGAAGACAGAGTAATTAAAGACATCCAGTTACCAGGCATCAAGGCAAGGAAAGACTGATAACTGCTTCTTTGTGAACACGAATATCCAGTTTCAAGCGTTTGATAGAAATTTCTTCGGCAAACTTGGGGAGAATTGAGCTTTCTCTTTTCTAGTGATTATTTTAAAGGATTTCGCGATTTCCACCTCATGACCCATATCAACGAGATGCTTGATTAAGGCACTCTTATAGGCATTTGTTCCCTTGAGACGTCCGCTTTCCGGTACATCTTCACTAACTACAGAATCTGCTGTCAGCTGACATCATGTAAAATGTGGAAGTATGTTAAAACTTTTCTGTACATGAACTTAACAGTAATAATTTCTTTAGGGCTGTAAGCAGCTGAGCTGATGAGAAGCCAACGAAATAAGCAATGATGGTATCATCTTCTTATTTAGCACATACCACTGTTGTTGTTCTTGCTTTATTCAAACTTTCATCATTTTTCGAAATAGAATACACAACTTTCTGTTGTATATATATATGTATGCTACTATGCATACTGAGGAAATTTTCAACGCGCATTCTAACATCCTTTAAGAAACATTAAAACTGACAATTCCATTCGACTGATGAGAGCTTGATTGGCCGAAACACCCTCATTACATACAATACTCATAAGAAACAATACCATTTTAATTCACTATCATATATTATTGATTTATTTTTATTTCAAAAAAGGAGATATATGTATATAAGAGACATCTACAAAACACAGGCTGAATTAAAAAGAATGCTGGAATATTATGATGTAATTAGAGATTATGGGCACATGTGCTCTTTTCAATATATATATAAAGAGTACTAAATGTATGTATAAAATAAGTATAGACCATCAGCTACATTGTAATACTGTCTATTGAATGACAACAAACTCAAATACCAATGACAATGGAGAAATTTCATGAGTAATGTCATACTTTATTGTGTTTTTGAGCACAATGAGCATTTGTCCGGATCGATATATTATCATTATTATGATGATGAACTTTCTTGACTTTCATCTATGCACGGGACAACACAAACAGTTGTATTCGCATGATGTACAACATAATCACTTACACTGCCCATAATTGTACGTTTGATAGCACCAAGTCCACGATTTCCAATAATCAATAAATGTGCATTATATTTTTCAGCTTTTTGTATTATAGCTGAACCAATATGATCAACAGGTTCATATAGGAATTGATATGTCAGATTATGACTTAAACAGTCTGCACTATAATCTTTTTCAAGTTCAAGTACACGTTTCAAATTATTTTGTACAATATTTGACCATTCATCACTTGGTAGACCCATTGGATTTGAAAAAGAAATAGTCGGTAGAGAAACTGGTTCCACGGCGTGAAATATTGTCACTGCATCATCAGGTCTTTGTATCCATTTTAAATAATATTGAAAGGCTTTTTTTGAATGCTCAGATCCATCGACAGCGATTAATACAGAACGTGAACCGATTGATGGTATTTTAGAGAATCCTGATGGTCTTCTATCCATGTTGTGAATGATAGAATCGCGCGCAAAAATGTAAAAAAAATGAAGGTGGGCTTTGTCTATATATATAGTATCAAAATAAACAACAATTCACGTCAGATTTAATAGATGTCGATTATTATTTTTTTCTACCAATCAAATTTGAATTGACCTTAAAACAACTAGAATATGATTGGATAATCACTTGTTTATCAGATTGTAACCGATTTCCTGATTGGTTAATATGTTTTTAGGGCGGGAATGCATATAATATATAATGTATCACGTGACAAAGAAAGTTTCCTTACAACCGGAAATTAATTTTCTCTTCCCAATAAAAATAAAAATAATTTTGGAAAATAATCTAATCGATAAGAGTAAAGAAAAATAGCAATGCAGATTTTATTACTCTATACATATATACACACACGAAATAAACGAAAATATTTTTGCCATCATTGTTGAATGTTATTGTCCCATTACACTTTTATTGAGCATTGAATGCCGAAGGCTAAAACTAACCATAATATTTATGGTCATGTTAGGAATTTAGATTCAATTGGAGGTAGATCTGATCATAGATCGATATTCATTTGAGCAGTTTAAAGAGGATTAAGGCAATTTAAAACAATTAGTTCCCTTTATGAATTTAGATAAAGCAATAAGAAGACGTAATTTGTCTGAATCGTGTATTGTATGTATTTGCGCAACACATTTCGAACAATCTGATCCAGCACACACGGACTTGTCATAGGAATATATATGAAATTAATAAAGAGTTAAGAGGTGAGAAAATAAACTACTTAGGTCAAGTTAAAACGACCACAAAACCAAATACCAGAGGTAATAGTACATCTACTCTGTTGGTATCAAAACAAAGTTTACCAATGAAGGGGGTTTAATGTGATGACGAATTGTTGCTTTCAACACATAAACGTGGTTTAAACTTCTTAACTACCTGATAGGGCTTCCACAAAATTTAGGATACGCCCCAAACACGTTTTATGGATGGATAGGTTTCAAAGATCTGTAGAAGAGGAAGATAATTGTTTATCTTTCCTAGACATATTGCTTGGTCGATGGCTTTTCACTTTTTAAATTTTGATTACAGCTTGATGCCACACCGTATTTTCAGTACAAGTATGGAATTTTCAGCATGGAAATCGGTAGCCCAAATTTTGCAGGTGGGCCATAGATATCGGGTTTGCGTCAGCAGGGGATCGAACCTCGGACCATGTACATGGTCGGCGAGAGTCCTAACCACTGTGCCACCGACAGGCCAATAAAAAGATCTATTTATAGAAAACCTACCTGGACAGGACAGTATCTTAATTATCATAGTTTCTGCCCTCTTCGGTGAAAAAAGCCTTAGTAAGGTGCCTCTTCAGTAGAATCCAACGAATATGCACTGAAGACACACTTGATGAAAAAGAAAGAAATCTGACACAAACTCTGGTTGATAACAATTATCCAGACAAGTTCATCAGGAGATATAAAGTAGTCAGAAAATCAAGACCCGTTCTCCAACTCGCTCCATAAAAAGACGTGTACATCAAGCTACCCTATGTGGGGCATCATAGTGGCTTGATAACTAGACAAAGACTGAACCATGCTGTTAAAAAGACGAATTTCTATGCAGCTATTATCATAATAATTGAGAATGTGAAGCCAATATATCCATCCATCTAAGCCCTTCGAACATGTGAAAAATGATGTCACATCCCACTGTATTTACGGATTTCAATGTACGTGTAGACACATATATATTGGAGGAAGGACTCATCGATCTCAGGAAGTAAGGGCTGGTTTCAGAGCATATTCCTGAATGGCTCCAGAAGCAAATAGGAACTTCAGAACCCATTAATGGTGAGGAAAGGAAACCTAGCTCCTCTATTGCGAAACATATTCTACAGACAGGACATAAAATTGACATTTACACATCTTTTAAAGCTATCTATCTATAAAACGTGTTTGGGGCGTATCCTAAAGTTTGTGGTAGCCCTAGCAGGTAATTAAGAAGTTTAAACCACCTCTATGCGTTCAAAAATAATTCGTCATCACATTAAACCTTCCTTGGGTATGAAGACGTGGAAGTGGAGCAATAAGAAGCGCGATCATTGAACCTCTGGTAGACAATGATCACCCTATCTCTATCTAGAGCCTCCGCCTTTAAAGTCATCTACACGTCAATATGTACCCGACTCATCTGTATTGCTGAAGCTTTGGCTATCGAAATCGAAAAGCCAGGTCTCTGTGAACAGAAAAAGTTCGTTAGACTCCTCCCCTCCAACTTTCATGGTCTTAATCCCTCTATGCTAAAGTACGGTAATCCCCAATCATATTTTGGCTCGACCAGTTTTTCGTTTTGTCTATTCAATTTGTATACTCTTCCTTTATTTCATCAGTAGTTACTATTATTATCGTTCTCACTTTGAACTGTCTCCGGTATTATTTCACACGTTCCACTTGTCACTCTAAATCAACTCTGTTTTTAATGTTTAATTTTATGTTATGAAACTTCACACAATGTTATGTAACGTTTTTATTTTTTTCCTACTTGTCTACTAATCCTATAATTGCACACAACTTCCAAGTTCTATACATCCATCTTATGTATTATTCTATGTATGACATTAATTGTTTTGCCACTTGACATTTAACTATGATTATAATCACAAACATTTCAATTTTAATTGCATTTCATACTACTACTATCATTATTATTTTATGGTTTCACACTTATGATTCAGTTCCCCCACAGGATATAACTTCTTAAAAGCCACATATGTATATACGATTGTACAGCTTGATAATAAATTTGTTGTTGGCTAGAGTGTCTTCTGTGAGTCACGACTTGTTTTGATTTTCTATATGTTACATTGGGAATTTTCCATGAATATCAATAACAGTCACAGACCATTGGTTCTTACAACCCTGAATACCCCAACCAAGCCGTCTACACTTCCCTACGTTGCTGGCTTAAACTGAGTGTCAAAGACTTCATGGATTTTGCTTTGATCACTACTAACCCTTTTCCAACCTGATCCATCTTATATCAGCTAATATTACCCCGGCGAGGAAGGCGTTGGCATGGCATGTACGACACATGTTTTAGCCATGTGAATCATTGTGGCTTCATGGCTCCATTAATTGATTTATTTTTCTTTCATAGTATTCTATCCTCTAAATAATTGATTTTATAAACCTAATCAGTGTTCCAGTTCAGCATCAGATCACAATAAAAATTTTTTGTTTATTTGATTTAGTCAGATATAACTGTTATAACTCCGTTGTTACTTATTTATGTCTGAGCCTGTTAATTACTATCACGGGCCAAGTTAAACCTTAAACACCACTAACTACCAATCAGAGAACAACCTTGAATGGTCCAATGAGGTTCATGCACGTGAGTTCAATGTTTTATAGCGCTTGATTCGTTTCAAATGCGTGCTCTAACGAACTTACGCTTGCAGTTCGAGGAGGATAAGGTTTCGCAGTATTGCCTGGATTCGGAGTTGCTTAGCTTAGGAAGGAGAGGATTTGTTCTTGTGGTGGTGTCATGCGTTTAAAAAGCTTTAGCAGGCTGATTGGTGGATAAGTCCATAGTTGTGCAATTTGCTTGAGACAAGTTAACATTAGAAAAGTTAAGCTGATATTTTTAATATTTCGTAGGAACATTTTTTGCTAGGTCACATCTCTCCCTAACCCAGATTTCGTATATTTGTAACTTCTGGGTTTTAAAACAGCCTGTGAGAGCCGCAGCTGCTGAAACCGAAAATAGCCTCGCGTCAACAGTTCAGTGTGGTACCCGCAATGCAGAGACATCGCCTCATGGAAAATGGAGAGAATTACTTCGTTGTTGGGCGGAGACGGTGTCGTCGTGCACGTGCACGAAACTGTGTTACTGAAGAGAAAGTACAACCGTGGTCGTGAGCGAGCCAACAATGTTTGGGTGATTGCTCTATATGACACACCCCTACGGAAAGGATTCGTGTCGAGAATACCAGCCAGAAAGTCAACTACTTTAATACGTATTACTACTAAACTTGTGAAACAGAGATCCATAGCACATACTGATGAATGGAAAGGTTATAACTCCCTGTAATCTCTTGGATATATTCATCACAGAGTGAACCACTCCAGTGATCTTGTGGATCCTTTTACGCATATACACACATAAATTCTATAGAAGGATTTCGGGGAAGATTGAAAAATAGGATTAGGGCTATAAATAGATCTCAAAAGGATCACATTGAAAGTCATTTGGATAAATATATGTACAGAATGTGGTGTGACTTTTCTATTGACAATCCTATGCTAAACTGCGAGATGCTTTTGTCACGTGTTAGAGAAAGATATCCTTTGTAAATGTTTTATGCAGTTTTTGTGCTTTTTTCATAAATATACGTTTTCCTTTATCAAAAATCCCTCTTCCATGTGATTGGTCTGTTGAAGGTCGTTCGCTGATTGGTAGTTAGTGGTGCTTAATGTTTAACTTTGCCCCATGCACATATCACAAGACAAAGGCTGGACAATGACTGCAGGATATTGCATTTTGTACCATAATAAATAGTTTAAGAAGCAACACATGATATTTATACATTTCCCTAGCCATAATAATATCGGCTCATGACCGTGAGAATGGACTGTTCTTATTGGTTAGAAATGTCTATCCTGATTGGTTGGTGATAAGACGAAGATCAAGGTGAGACAAAAGACGATGAACTGATCACACACGCTAAATCACAATATGCATGAGAAATGATACATTCACATAGTAACTCCATCACTTGATAAATCACACAATTAGTGAGAAAGGATGATGATCTACTATTTTATGCTAGATCCTATAAACCCCACACCCCGCCGTAAAAGTGTAGGACTGTCTTTTGGATCTGGCTAGAGAAGTTTTGATTTTGCGACCAATATTAATTTATGCTAGAGATAACTTATTTGAGGGAGAGGTATTCGGTGCAATATGATGATAAGGCAGCAAAAATCTGTCGAAGATTTCTCTCATTCTTCCCTCCACCACCCCCCCACCCGCCTTCGCTCTAATGAATGGACATTTAGAGGCACCGATGAATCAATCACCTTGACC